ATATATAAATAGTCCTAATGTTCGCTTCTTATAAATTTAGCTAATACTATTAAAATTCATTGTTTATTTTATTTTATTTACTTATTTTAAATTTAGACACATTTCGTAAAATCAGATTTTTTTTGATCGAAGAGTTTGCAGAACAAAAGATCTGTGCTATTTAAATGCTTTGAGGCCTTTACCATAATTTCCTTAAGCATGATATATTATAAGGAATCATTTAATTTAATTAGCATAATTTAAATTAAATAACTTCATAATTTATTTAATAATCGCAAACAGCTTAAAAATAAAATTGAACCGAATTTTATGAAGCATTAAACTGTTTATGTTGTACTTAAATTATGTTAATTAATATTTGTTGATTTTAATGAGCAGCTAACGAATGGTCAATTTTTGGTATAATTGATCTATTTTAATTGTGCATTTGCAATGCATTTTACGGATTTCGCAAATTTTTGTTTCATTTAATTTAAAAACCGCAAACGCTTGAGCCACAAATTCACACTGTAATTCAATTTTATGTTAAAAATTGTTTATCGCCCACCACAAGGCAGGGCCTTTAATGCATGTACGCAATTCGAAATTCTCATAGACGTCGAACGATGTTTTATGATGTTGAACATTAAACAAAAGCACCTATTTTACAAATTTATTAACCTGCGCTGCCATTCCCCTGGGATGTGTTCAGCACTCACTAGAAAATATTTTACAATTATTGCTTTTAATTATTTATTGCCCTTTCGGATTTCGCATTATTAACACTTCGTTAGAACTTTTGTTGATGCAGCAAAACGTTGCAGTTGCATGTTACATTTTTTTAATGCGGATGCACGGAACCAGTGAGCAGTGAATGCATTTGTATTCCTCGCCAGACCGGCACAGAGGCATATTTTCAAATTGTTTGCAAGGAATTTTGTTCAGAGTTCGATTATTTTTTTCCACATTAAATATTTATAAGAAATTTCGCAAACAATTGGAAAATTGCCCGATAGGTTGATGAACACACCATTGGAGGTGATAGCTTGACTGGGAGAGAGTAGGGGTTTTGAATAAATGAACTAATTTTCACTGTATTTTTATTAAAACTGCAATATTCTAAAATATATTATTTATATTTTAAAGTGTATACTAGCAGCAGACGAAAATTAGTTTATTAAAGTGTTGAAAAAAAAATTAAAAATAATTAATCAGTACATAGCTTCACCTTCGCAAGACAACATTTTAGATTAAATTTAAGTATGTTATTTATACTACAATAAATTGATAATTTATACTATAAATAAATATATAAATCAATTTGTACTATATCCATTCGTTATGCAGAATTTTATGTTATTAATGTAGAAATCAATAAAATCGACTTATAATAATTGTCTCATTATAGATGGTTAACAATCCGTTGGATTAACAATCCGTTGGATTAACAATCCGTTGGATTAACAATCCGTTGAATTGAATTCTATAATTTATTATGAACACTCATTACATTTTTGTTTTTTTGCATTAAGGTATATACCAGAACCTATAATAAGCAACTCAAGCCATTTTACTTTTATTTTGCAAATTAGTGTTTATCTATTTAGTGTAGACTTTAAACATATTCGAAACAAACGTTTTTAGATCCAAGCAAGAACTTAATTTAACATCTATTTGTCTGCTTGTTATTTATAACTTTATATACTATACGAGTGAATTAACGTAATCAGTTGTAATTAGGGAAAAGGTGTTGATTGGGAATGGGCGGGGTTTAAATTGTTGGGTTTGGGAGGTTGTGGGGTCCATACTGTAGCAGCATAGTGGTTTTATCCCATAAGCAACCTGCGAGCGATTTTAACACATTATTACGAGATTTCACCCGACAGCACATAACCGAGGCATGAGTTCGATGGCTGTTTTGATCTTGAATTGACTGAACTATTTTTGGGCACAGTCAAGATACCTCTTTAGTCTAGGAAGAAAATAGAGTGCAGGAGGATATATTTCGAGATAGATAAAGATTTCTATTGTCCAAAAACGATGTCGCAAGGGGAAAGAATGCATTCAGTTTGTTGCACAATATACATAGGAAGTTAGAGTCAAGATACCTTTTTAGTTCAGGAAGTAAATAGAGTGCAGGAGGATTTATTTCAATGTAAGGATAGGTAAAGATTTCTATTGTTCAAGAACGATGCCACAAGGGAAATGTATGCTTCCAATACAAATGTATGCTTTTTGTTGTACAATATACATAGTAGGGTCTTGGATTGTAGTTAGAATTGTAAAGATATCAGCATATGTTATGACTTTGACTCCCTCAGGGGGGTGCGGGAGTTTGGACATATATAAGTTGAAAAGAATCGGTTTAAGAACGCTACCCTGGAGACATCATGTTTCAAATTCCTTGTTTTCGACTTGGCTTTGCTAAAAAAGCAACTCGCTATTTAATATGTTTGCATTAGTTTGCAAAACTCTGATATATTGCTTTAGATGTAATCGAATATATTCACGATATATTCCATCAAACTCTTTTCATGAAAACCAATACTGTAAATTCTTATTCACTAATAAGTAAAAGGGAAAAAAGTAAGTCTGCAGTATAAAATCATTCTATTTTCCGAAATATTGGAAACTTTATTTTTAGGTCAGTTAATACAAATAAACTAATATATGTTTTATTCCATATATATCCGTATGACGGTTTTGGTGGGTAGGGCTGTACCCATCTGTAAAATTATTCAATATTATTATTGTGTAATACATAATTTCTTGTATCTCTTAAACACATTGCCAAATGATGGCAACTCTGTATTAATAGCAAATATCTATCTTTTGAATCTATATATTATACATAGACTTAAAGTTGATATGTTGGAACTTATAGCCATTAAGTTGTTATTAACAAGGCAATTGTGGCAAAGATCGTTAAAAGTCTTTCGCAAGATATTTGTAAGATCGACTGGAAGACCGTTTGTAAGATTTTAGCTATTCTGACACAAAAGTCTTTTAAAAATAAGTTTTATCATTTGTAATTCGTGATAGAAAGCTGTTTTCTTTTATTTCAGATGTATGCATGAGCCGTCAGATGTATGTCCCATTATTATTATTATTTATACATATATAATTATATATTAAATTTAACTCATATCATAAAAGAAATGGTAGCAACTATTTCTGCATTCACAACAACAGTGGCAAAAAAAAATTAATTAGTTTTAAAATTATAGCTTAAATATATATAAATAAATAAATAGATGAATAAATCAATGTTAAATAAATATTAATATATATTAAAATTTAAATATTTAAAAAATATGTGTTATTAATTACATAAAAAACATTTATGTATTAAAATTTTTATAAACAGTATTAAAAATGAAGTTGGAAGTAATTGTTCTATTTTTATAAACTTCGATTAATTAATTAATTGTTAATTTCTATTTTAATTATTATGTATTTTATTTTGTATTAAAAGAATTTTGTGCAAGAAAAAAACAAACAAAATCCTACCTGACAATCGTAAGGCCTGATTAATAGCAGATCTTTCATTTGGTCTTTAGAAAACAGAGCTTATTCTGAAAAAAGATCGCTGCCAGAAAACGAAAGATCTTTGAAACAATCTTTCGAAAGATTTTTGAATATGGTGAGCAGAAAGATCGTTGCCAAGATTGTACAAAGCTTTTCAACATTGATATGATAGAGAGAACTCCGGACCATATTTACAAAAAGAGTTCCTACAGTGCCTCTTGAAAACTTGAAAATGTGATGACGCAGACGAATAGTAGGACTAATTTAAGAGATGGAAAATTTTTAAAGATGAATTATTTTATATCTTATATGTTTTTGTTTTAAATTTGATGCTATTTGAATTATTTGCTAATAGAATGATTAGCTTCGACAGCAGCCACACTTTGTCTTTCAAGCAACTGGAGCACGAAGACCACGACTTTGTTCTTCTGACTGCTCCAAAAGGAAACTAATTCCAAATTTTCAATAATTATTGAAACCTACCTTTGTTTGCTTGACTTATTCTTAAGAAATCATTCTGAAATTGTGTATTGTTTTATTTTTAAATGTGAAATTTTGCTTAGTCATGGAAACATTTTTTGCGTAGGCAAAATAAAATGCTTGAATGGTAAAAATAATTAAAAATAAAACAAATTCTTTTTTGTTTCTATTAAAAATTGTAAACTCAAGGCCAGCTTAACATTGCTAACATGACGTCATAATTATGTAATATTATAATTAAAATTTTTTCGTGAAAATACAAAGCCACAAATACTCACTTTATTGGAAGATACGAGTATACAAGTGCTTCTTTTTTAAACACACGATTGAATATTAATTAAGCAAAAACTTTGAGAAGGAAACAGTTCTTAACAAATTTATAAGACATTTTACATTACTAATTGCACAAATAAATAAATAAATGAAAAGCAAATAAATGAAGTTTAAACGGATTTGGAAACAGAAATAGAAGAGTCACTTATGCCAAAACAATTATGAAGCCGCAAGATTTTTGAGCAAGACATCTGAGGGCTCCTCAGAAAAAGATACATTATATTATTGAATTTATTTTAAATTAAATATATTTTTTGTGCTCTTAGTAAAGTCGGTAGCCAATTATTTGAATACACAAAATTTTGTTGTATATTTTTAAAATCCACTTAAGAAACCTGCTCCAAAAATAATTGTACGATTTCAAGCAGTACAATATAAAATGGGGAAAAAATTGTTAATTAGAAAAATTGGTATTAAGAAATATTTGCTGGCTTAAATAGTTATTAATTGCTCGTTTTTTATAGATACACACGTGTGTGCCTGTGTGCGTTCTTCGTTGGCTGCTTCAAACCCATTGAAAGTCAATGTGCACTTCAAACCCATCAAATGCGTGGAGCATCACTTGTTATTATTATTATTATTATTTCATATTTATTTTTATTCTAAATTTTGGATTGTTACATGTTTCATATTTGGTAACAGTTCTGCCATTAATTCGAAATTAAACGATACTTGGACTATAAATACTGTAAACGTTTTGTTAGAAGCCATCATTTGGGTTCAACACATCGATAGTGCTGACTTCATTATAGTTTTATTGAGAAATTAAATCAAGGGTAAAAGAAAATAAATTCTCAAAAATGGTAAGCTCTACAGGATTTTGCTAAAATATTATCCTCTTTTCTAAGTTTAAACCAATTTTACAGAAACTCTTCGTGGTTGCGTGTTTGGTTGCTTTTGTAGCGTTTACTGCCGCTGAAACAGCTGTAAATGATGTTGCCATCGATGTGGCTGCTGAGCCATCAAGAGAATATTTGGCACCAGTAGAAGATAATGCTGATTTAGCTAAGGATGGCTATCGTTATAAAACAGTACGCAGATTGAAGTACCGCCACCGTCGTGATGTTTCTCAAGAATACTTGCCACCATTAGAGACACCTAGCCAAGAATATTTGCCACCAGTAGAACCAGAGACTAAAGTAGCTGAAGATGGTTATCGTTACAAGACTGTACGTCGTCTTAAGTTCCGTCGTCATCGTCGTGAGGCTGATGCTTCTGAAGTTGCAGCTGCCGAAGCTCCTGCCAATGAATACCTTCCACCAGCTGAAGCACCAGCAGAAGAAGCTCCAGTAGAACAAAAATCTGCTGAATTGGGTGCTGATGGCTATCGTTACAAGACTGTTCGTAGAATCAGATACCGTTATCGTCATTAAATTATGCATACGATATGTTGATATTGACAAGGAATTCGGACCAAATTATGCCTACCAGTACATTGACCATACGAGTCTATTTCTCTTTTAGTTTTTTAAATTCGATTTTTTTACAATAAAAATTTAGTAAAATTAAGTAATTCAAAAAATAAAGCAAGAATAAAAATTTTATTCATAAAAAATGATACTGTTTAAACTAGTTAAAAGAGAATATTGCAGAGATTATTATTTTCAGCTAATATTGTATTTAAATCAATTTTGTTATTACATATATTAATACTTGCATAACAACTTTAGGGTTTCAATAATCTGCTACCATCTGTTCCATCTGTTAATTAAACGATTTGTCAGCTTCTATCTCAATAATTCTTCTCCAAGTCATGGTTTATCA